GAGGCCATGAAGGTAACGGGGTGGGTAACACGGACAGACAAGACATAGTTGAATATCTCAAAAGAAAAAAGAAAAATAAAATGCCCGATCTAAACAAGAGGTCCACACCACGAATCAATAACAGGTACCATATATGAACAAACTAATATGAGCCACGGCTGAGAAATTAGTTAGGATGATAGCCTTTCTTGAATATACGCTGGCAAGTTGTGTTGAAGCTATGTTGACTAGATTATCACATTTGGTTTCATGCATGGATTGTTCTTATAGAATGGGCAGGAGCACTTGTAAACATTAGATGATGTCCCTCACCTTTTTGTGAAATCAAATCTTATGCAAGCAAAATTAATAACATTTTGGTGTGTTTTTATGTTCGTGCATGATTATTAGCGATGCTACTCCCAGTACTAAGTCTAGGTTATGCATGCATTGTTAACTTATTATTGAACCCCATTGTAAGTTTTAAGATGTGTTTGACCTTGGAAAAAACAGTAAACACTCATGTCAAACGACACATGAGCTAGAAACGGCTCGTGTCATGGTGGTGGTGTGTGCGATACAAACATTTAGCAACATCAAAAGTATTGAATCAAAATTTATACTCTAGAGTTTTGTATACGTTTGCTGACCTAATCATACACTACAAAACACCATTAAGATATTTAATTACACCATTCACCTCGAGCAAGATATTTATAGATATTAAGACATACTTGAACACACACACACACACACACACACACACAGAGAGAGAGAGAGAGAGAGAGAGATACACATACCCAATCAATCCATGCAATTGTAAAAAAATAATTCAAGGAGCCATGTGATTTGTCATTCTTCTTCTTCCTGTACTAGGTGGATGGTGTATTCAAAGATCCAGTTTCAAGATCTTGTGAAGAGGCAATATCTTGAAAGAGGATAAAGCTAGCTAGTGTACAAAGTATAGGTTAAAGCCCAAAACAAGCGTATTTTGAAATAATATACATTACATATGTATACCACAAGATAGTATAATTAATATTTAACAACATTTTTAATAGGAAATTATAAATAACGATAAAAGTTTTGTATAAATTATAATTGGTTCTGCTCGATCGGATTCTGAGCTCTATATTATTTTTTATTTTCGAGTGTCATTATTGTACCCTTTGTACAATTTTCTAAGCACAATTATGAAAGTAAAGTTTTGCTTTCATAGATATTTTTGAGTTGCCAGATGACTTATTATTGTTCTATCTCATTATAACAATATTGAATTTTATTTATGACTTACATGGATATGATACGAAATCAAAATATGCGTTGCCACAAAACTTGCCAGTCAATAGTTATGTAATTTAATATATACCATGGTTCGATTGCTGCAGATATTTATGGTATTGTTCAGGGAGTGTCAGTGCTCAGGAGTATTTTTGCAGCTTGCCGAGCAAAACTTTGAGAGTGAGTTTTTTGTTCCGCTTCACTAGGAGATGAACGACCACTTGCATGACTACTACAACATGGGAACATCAGTCCTTGCTCTATATGTTGGCATGTTGTGCAAGAAATATGGGGTACACGGATGGAAACAAATATTGACTGATGAGTTGGATCAGCTGGATAGGTCAGTCAGGGCCTTGTCAACAAAGCATGGACATAACATCATCTGAAACAAAGGCTTGCAGCGGCGGAAAAACTCATCTGGGTTAACTTTGGGGGTTTGAGTATTTATAGTAATTTTCAACTTTGGAATCATGTTAGGGGGGATGTCGAGGGTCCTGCAAGCTCAGGTGACGCGCATAGGGGGGCGGGCTTGTGGTCCTCCTAGACACCTTCTGGTCCTTCTCCGAAGCTTCGTGAAAACCAAAAACATGCAGAAAATAGCAATTAGCACTGGGCAGTAGGTTAATAGGTTAGTTCATGAAAATCATATAAAAAGGGCACCAAAATAATATAAAATTGTTTTAAACATGGCATGAGTACTTCATAAGTAATAGATATGTTGGAGACGTATCAAGCACCTGCAGTGGAGTTCAACGAATTCATAATCGCGGCCACACCAATGACATTCTGAAAGTCGGGGTTCACTTCTGACGGGCTTGTTGGGTGACGCGCGGGCATTACTTCGAGGAGAATCAAGTTCCCCGAAGCTTGTAGGCTATCCCTTCAGCTCCCGCATCCACCAATAGGCTCATTGTCGCCACAACGTTGCCCACGGAGGCACATATCCTCCACTCACCAAGTGTTTGACGAATTGCCTAGGTAACTTTTTTGCCTTTTCATTGTTGTTTTACAGTTTTTGCAACCAAAATCAACATGAAAATGTTGCAATTAGTAGACTAAGAGGTCAAGGAAGATGTTCTTCGATGACTCTTTGTCGGAGAGGGAGGAAGAATATGACGATGATTTTGAGATGACCATGGTTGTTATAGTTCATGAGGACTTTCGGAGACCAAGACTAGGATCACAATTTGGCCGCTTGGATATCAATCATAATAGAGCAGAAGCTCACCACAGGCTTATCAAGGATTACTTTACCCCCAATCCAACATATTCGGAGAAGTATTTTTGGCAGCGATTTCGAATCCGAGTTGTAGCAGGAAATTTGGTCTATTTGGTTAGGATGGAACACCACCTTGTAAAGACCGAAGATTGAATAGTAAAGAACCCAGAAGACTGAAATAATTTCGGACGTCAATTACGAAAGGCCGAGAAGATCGTACCAAGCAAACCGAAAAGACCGAATGTCCGGGCTTACTGCTGGAGATGCTCTTACTTCATGCGTCAACGACTTGAAGCATCACATTACAGTGTGTATCAATGCATACTAATTGTTCACCCCAAGCAAAACGGGAAAGTTAAAGCACACATAAGAAAAAACGCAAAACACAGCGGCTGGCATTTCTTACGTAACATATTTGGTTGGTTTGTAGTACTGCAAATTTGCTTTTTTTTTAATCCTGGGACACCGTACACGTCTTTTTTATTTTTGAGCAAAGGCACACAGTACACGTGAGTTATTCACTTTTTTTTGAGCAGTAGGTATTCACTTTTTTTTCTTTTGAGGGGGAGTAGTTATTCACTTATTTGCTTCACGGGAATCATAGTTTGCTGGTAGCGAATGGCCTTTCTTTTCTAAGCCCAGAACGACAATAGCAAAAGGCAACGGCCCATGCGTACAGACCATTCATTCCATCAGCATACGCAGCATCCCACCTTTTTTAGTCCCACCTCGCCTAGCAAGGAGGCAACAGACCAGCTTAAATAGCGTTCTCCACCCACTGCCTGGCCGAGCTCATTAGCGCGAGCTTGTAACCCGAGCGTGGGCTTTAAGGTGGTGTGAACGTTGCCGTAGCGCTGTGGGCCTGGCCCGGTTGTGCTTCTGCTGGTCCGCCCGTTCCAAGTTGGTAGTGGACCCGCTTGGGGCCTGTGCGAAAGCTAGGCGTCACGGGCTATAATGCGGCAGGCATTGCGTGAGGCTGGTTTAACAGAGCAGCGAAAACTGCCCGCCTCCAACGGTGGAGAAGGATAACGGGCCGCTGCATAACTGGGCCGCTTGGGTCTCCCAGCCTACTCCTACGAACCACTATCTTTTTCATTTTTTTTGTTTTTGCTGCTCACAAGGAGAGGCAAAAAAAAAGTGAACTGCTGGTTTCAAAATTGCAGATAAATGCCTCTGAATGGTTCACAACACTCGATCTCTTGGTTACAAACTAAGATTTGTTGGACTATCATAGCGATGGGAATTTCTCTTGGTTATATCTTTTTCATATCACACGTTTTCTACAATGATCACGTCTTAGGTTTCTTTTCTTTTTTTGCTACTCGTACAGTGGTAGGAGACACAAAACATTTTACTCAATCGGTTTGTCATTGTCGGAGGAACGGAGCTGGACAACAACCCATGTCAACGTTTTGAAAGCACATAGTCCGTGGAAAGAAAAAACTCATACAAAAAACATGGACAACCCAAACATATTCCATCAATTGAATTTTACTCAGAAGCCACATCGACACCAAAATAAATAGAGCCTATTACATTCCATCACAGAGAGCAAGATTCAGAAAATAACGTGCAATCATCCATGTCGTTGACCTCATCCTCCGGAATGTTCCATTTCTCAGGCTCCTCCAAGCACTCATCGTTGGTAGACAGCAAGTGCAACACCTGAAAAGCATGACATATTTTTTTTTGTCATTTCATCTTAACATCAGTAACTTAAACCTAGCAACTATGATGAGTGGGTACCTCGGACATCGATGGCCGCCACATTGCCGGCCGGATGATGCAGCGTGACGCGACGGTGACCATCCTCTTCAGCTGGTCCTTGTCATAGTCATCGCCGAGTTCAGGGTCTGCAAGCTCGATCGCTTGCCCGGCCTCCAGAAGTGGCTTTGCCTAGAAAGACAAAGAGAGCAAACACACATAATGTGAACTGTTCTGTTCTTTGGCGATTCGGTCAGTTCACTGGAGTGTGCTCATTCAGTTAGTGCTCACCCACTGAAGAAGACTTTGCTTGGAGCAGTCGATGGGCCGCCTTCCGGTGACGATCTCTAGCAGAAGAACTCCGAAGGCAAATATATCTGTCTTTTCATCAACGATGCCATGCATGAAGTATTCTGGCGCCAAATACCCAAATGTGCCCTCTATGGGTACGACGGAGTGATGAGTCCATTGTTTTGGAAGCCACTTTGCTAGCCCAAAGTCAGAAATCTGTTGTGTAGACAGACAAATGCCCATCTTATTAAATAATCACATCACTTTCATAGTTGATTAAATGCCATTTCATTACTTGCATTGCATATAATTCTCAAGTAACTGTATCATTTTCTTTTGAGAGAAGATTGTTGTTTGGTGGCAACAGTAGACTTTTTGATAAAAAGGCAGTTTTTATTGACTCAAAATGTAAGGAGAGATAGGCTCACCTGAGGTTCAGAATCATCGCCGAGGAGGATATTAGCAGCCTTGATGTCGCGGTGGATGATCCGATGCCTACAGAACATGTGCAGATACTGCAAACCCCTCGCGACGCCGACCGCGATCTTCTGCCGCAGAGGCCACTCAAGGACCTTCCCACTATTCCCTGCAAAAAAATGTTATGACCAGTGTGTCACTGACAAAATCTTCAGGTCGATCACTCTGAACTTTTTTTTTGCGGGGTGATCACTCTGAACTTGCACGCTGACTGAAATTCATTCAGATACCGTGGAGCGCCGATGCGAGCGTCCCGTTCGCGCAGAGCTCAAACACCAGGTAGAGCCCGTTCTCGACGCAGCATCCGAGCAGGTCCGCCGTGTTCGGGTGACAGACATGCACCTGGATCCCTAGCTCCGACAGGAACTCCTTCTCCTTCTGCTCACTGGGCTTGCCCTTGGCCAGCCTCTTCACGGCTATGCATTGGCCGTCAGACAGTACGCCCTTGTACACTTCTGCATAGCCCCCTCTCCCCACTATATTGTCTGCATGAACATGAAAGCATCAATCAAATTACATTAAATCTTGCTGGATTTTGCATGATACGTACAAAATTCTCTGTTGTTTTTTTATTCAAAAAATGCATGAACAGAAGGCCTGAAAAATAAGTTACCAACATACCTGGGCTGAAGTCGTCTGTAGCAACTGAAATCTCTTGGTAACTGTAGCACTTCCAGGCAGGTTTCTGATCTTCAGAGAACGTTGAGCCGACGTCGCCGCCTTTCGCGCCTTCGTCGTCGACGGTTCGTAGGAACGGAAGCCAGAGCTTCATGTCCGACAGCCGTCTCCATATGCCACTGTGGCCACGCCGGCTCATCGTGTCATTGCTATATGTGCTGCTGTAGCACTCTTCAGTGGCCTGCACATTTTCCCCTCCCTCTGGTCCATCAAGAACCGCCCTCGGCGAGCTCTTGTCTTCCTCGTCGCCGTCTGCCTGCTTGCGTACCGAGCTTGATCGAAGCAGTTTTGTTAATGTTCTGCTCCATGTTGAACTTGAGGAGATGTTGCTGCTGCCTGCAGTTTCAGGTTCTGAATTAGAACGTGAACGAGCCTACATGCTGGTTTTCAGAAGAAGAAGAAAATAAGTGCTGAATATTTTCACCGTCAAACGACTGAGACTTGAGCCGGTTGCTACTCTGGGTCTGCGCCAGGCCTTCCCTTCCGACCGCGATCACCGAACAGTTGTTCGGAGCGTGCATGAAGCAGTAATTTGCAACCTCAAAGTGATTCCTGAAATGCATAAAACTACTGATTACATTTACAAGAGTGCAAACTTGCAGAAAAATACAGTTCAATATCTGTACATGAACAGAGGAGTAGCTCATTATTATTATTATTATTATTATTATTATTATTATTATTATTATTATTATTATTATTATTATTATTATTTTCCTTTTTTAGGAACTTACTAAAGATTACCTGTGATATTTACTCCTTGATCTTCCGACGACTAGAAACTTTGCATCAGTCTGTTCAGCTTCCCGGGCCAGGGCTCTTGGAATGCTTGAGCTGCAGATCACCTTGGCCTCCAAATTGACCTGAAAAACAGAGCAAAGGGAGAGAAAACAGAGGATAAAGCTCATAACCCTTTTGTTTCAGCTAGACGCAGAAGCAGTAATGATAGGCTTAAATGGAGGTTCAGTCCCAATTTGGCAGCACTAAAGACTGAATATAAGCACATGGATGAGGAAGCATAAAGGAGGACAAACCCAGGCCACCGTACTAATTCCACCGAACAGCTGAACAGAGACATGCCACCAAACTAAAAACCAGTGAACACGAACTTTGCTTCCAAGTTGACACTACACTGTTTTCACCAGAAGAGAAATGGGAAAAAAAAATAGGCGCAAGGAATGTAAACTAAGAACTGAACACCGAAGATCAACAGAAGCCATGTTCAGAAATTATTCATTTCAAATGAATATAAGAAGCTTGGTAAACAAATTGCATAATTGAAATTGTCTTGTGCTTTGATCAATCTGCACCTGCTTAGCCTCGCATGTCTCCACCAGCTCCCCGAGCATGTAGATGACGAAGGCGTTCGCCTTCTGGAGCCTGTTCTTCCTCCCCCTCCCTCCTGCTAGCCACAAACCACCACCAAGAACAGCAAAAGCAAATCATTAGCACAACAACAAAGACTGTATCCATGCAGCAACAGAAGTAAAAATGCAGGCGGTTACCAAGGACATGGACGGCGACGACGGAATCGTTGGGCTTGGCGACGACCCTGATCGCCCACGACAGCAGCTCGGAGCACCCGCGGGAGTTGTTGGGCACGCCGACCAGTATCCTCGAACCAAGCATCAGCTGCTGCTGCTGCTGCCGCCGCCCATGGCTGCTGCCCCTGCTGCACTCCTCAATGGCGTCCATCTCTAAACCTCCCCTCCCCAGCCTCGATCCAGCACTAACACTGGTTAGTGGCTGCGACCAGAGGACGACGACGACGACGGCCACGACAATGACAGGGATTTTGTAGAGGCAAAAGGTGACATGGCATGGTGAAAGGCACGCGAGTGCAGTGTAGTGAGGAAAGGTGGTGGTTAGTTAGTTGGACGTAGTGATGGCCATTTAGCAGCAGCACCAGCACTTTATTCCCCGTGGGCGACCACCATGGAACCCAACGGAAGCTCGCAGCAGCACCAGCACTTGGCAGCAACCGCCGTGGCATTGCTTGCTTGCAAAAGTTGGGTTGCTTGGTGGTGAAGATGCGTGCCGGTGGTACAAAGACGGGTAGACCGGTGAACACCTAGGATTGGCTCATGCCTGGATCTGATTGGGTCCTGCGGCATTTGGTAACCGATCTAATCTGACATCTCTGGTTCAGTTTATATATAACTGTTTTATCGGTGCCGAAGAACGACCGTTAAACGTAGCTGTTTGAGCAATTTACATCAGCAACTGCTTTTCTAACGAAACAGAAGTATACATAACAAATGGCCCTCCTTTCTTCTGAATAAGGCTCTAGATTTATTCATATTAAAAGAGTTCCAATGATACAAGGCATCCTATAAAAAAGTTATAATCAGGTCCTAATAGAGCCAAACACCGCCGCTGTCGCTCCATCATCGGAGTCGGCCTAACATTGCATCCGTGTGGTCGGTAAGTTGTCGTCCTAAGTTGCAGGGGTGGAAAGTCTAAGTCTGACGTTCATTGGCTGAAGGTGACAATTACGTTGTACACGGGACGTCTCTTTATCGAAGGAATTTGCATGAAGTTTTTATATACATTCTCGATATCTTGAGTAGTTTTTTTTTTGCGAGGTATCTTGAGTAGTAGTTTTTCATATCGTGTTGATGGAGAGATCGAATACAGTCGACATCTTCTCAACGTTAATAAATTTTCTTAAAAAAAATTACATAACTGAGCCTATGACATTTGGTTACAGAAAGTTCTGCCGGAGATGACAAACATTGGGTTTCCATTGGTCGAGGCAGCAGTGCTGGTTGGTAGGGTTGTGGGATCCACACACACACACATGCGTGCATGCCAGGTAGGACATACCTGAATTTTGATCGGATCAGCTCACTCCTACTGCGGCAATGGGACATCTGGCCCTCGTTCTGGTGGTGGTAGGGCTGTGCCGTGCCAGTGCATGCCAAATCTTCCACTGCGGCAAAGGTGTAATTATTACTTTGATTGTGGTGATTGTGAGTGGGGTACTTTAGAGGTTTCTTGGCTTATTTCTCACTTATTTGGAGATGATCATCGCACAGGCGGCGGCCCACATTCCACCACTGATGCAATGAGTGTGCGGTTGTGACCGCCTGGAGGCGTGGAAAGGGAACGGACGCTCCCGTCCAAAACCGGGAAAAAGAAACGAACCCGGTGTTTCTGCTCTGGATTAACAATAAAATGCAAAAAAATATTTAAAAAAATTGTGGCATACATTGTTGAATGTTTCGGCTGCATGCAAAGTTTCACGACAAAACAAACATCCGTAGTGCTCTGTACAGTTTTGAAAGCATTTTGGAGCACTGGTTTTATTTTATTTTCCAAGACTTCCATTAATGGCATTACAACATGGAACTTCGCAAAAAATGTGAAACATTAAATAATGTTAATCTTTAAAGAAATTCAAAATGTTTTGATTTTTTCCTTTTTTATATTTTACAAAACTAGTAAGCGTGCACGTGCAACGCACGTTTTCACTAAAATTAATACTGGATGCGAGGATTCAAATGCATAGAAAACCAATTTGATTTTCCCTTTGCATGTATTTTTACAAGTGTACTTTTTATTTCAAAAGTCAAACTTTTTCTTTCTTTGACAAAATGTAACCCATGAGTTTTTTAGGGGTGCAATCGATAAGTAATAGTGAAAATTTAAACCAGGACCAAATGTATTTCATTAGAAGGAATAATATGTTCGATTCAAGAGTGACCCAATAAAAGATACAACCATCAACTTTGCTTGCACTCAACTTGAAACTCCACTCTTTATAAACTATAAACTCCACTATTATCTGACATCAAGAAGCAAACACAAAATCATTAATCTTTAGATCTGCTATTTTGTCAAGGCTGATTGTCATCGCTCACATAATGCAAGATTTGATCCCAACAAAATGCCCATGATGCAACATCTCACGTTCATCAACAACCAAAGACCAAAAGGCCACAACAATTTATTTGGCTGCAAAAAGAAGTTTTGTAGAACCATCACAATATACGTGCTTACAACACTTTTCCACATAAGAGTGGATGACTGAAAGTGTATCCAATATACAGTAATGACAAACATATTAAAAAGTTTCAAATTCTCTAGCTCGCTTAACCTTGATAATGTACATAATTAGGAATCCAATGATTATACTTACACTGTAGTCCATGTTGCAAATTAAATTTGAAAACAATAATGGACACTTTGGCATTAATATCTGAATGGCTTAACCTTGTAGTAATATAGATAACAAAGATGATTTTGATAAGAGCATTTTTACTCCCCCCTAGCAATGCATCTCCCGTTCCCAGCACATATTAAGGCATAATAAGCTACAAATAGATGATCACATAACAAGCTACAAATAGATGGCAGCATTCTTGCATGCAGCTGCAACACATAAGGGTGAACCACAGAGGCAAGAAATAATAAAAAGAAAAGAGTACCATAATTTTTTATATTAGTTCAATAGAATTGTTGTGCTGGCTGCATAACACATGTAGAAATCAGAAAAATGAAAAAGATTAGTAGTCAAAGGAAATGAGAAATGTCATGAACCGTGAGATGCATTGTCATGAATATATAAGAAACTTTTTTCATCACTCCAAGACATCTCCATGCACAAGTTCTTGGTGCTTTTTCCTGTGGGATTTTATCCTAGTTTGGCTTGGTCAATGCAAATGGAGGCAGATCAAAATGAAGTACATAAAAAAAACTCACAACAAAAAAAAAAGTTGTAATGTCAATGTTGTCGTAGCTCAACAAAGGTATCTGTAAGCAAGTGTGCAAAAAAAATATGGAGCAGCAAACGTGAGCACGAAAAACTAATATACTTAAAACTCACATGAGCATCCATTCCAGCCCCTGCAAGTTTGTACACAAAACAAATTGTGAAAAGACAGTTGAATATAAGATAACATAACTTTTCATGACACATTTAGCCTGAACCATTCTCGTCATCTATGGTCTCGCATGCAGGAGGATACTTCAAAGCAATGAGCTTAGCCAGCCTTCCATATAAGGACTTCCGCTCAAAATTGCAGATGAATTTGATAGGGCGGCAAAACAATAGACCTGAAATTATTTAAAGCTGAGAAGGCCAATGATAAAATATAATATCCCAGCCATTTCTTCTCTAATACTGTATATGCAATCTTTAAAATGCCACAGATTACAAAAATTGCAATCCAAAAGACTTGTATTGAAATTTAGCCAATCATGTCAACTGAATAGGAATAATTATTCTACCTTTCCCAAAGATAGTAGATTATATATGAAGAAAAGTATAAATCATAATATACAATGATTTGCTAGCTATACTATACAATGATAAATGCTGAGTTGTTTGTGACGCCACATCTTCTCCTGAATTTTGCTATTTCGTTAACAAATGGATTGATCAAGGAGTCGGGGTGGTCATTTCCGATCTCTCATTGCAACCCAGCCAAATGTTGTTATATACTCGTACGATATTATTCTGGTAAAAATTAGAGGAATTTAGAGTTTATGCACATGGAAATCCAATTTTCCATTTTAATTGATCAACCTATCTAGAGCGAGCTGAACATTTCCCTTTGCTACATCACACATATTTGGATAAATACTACAGAGAATGATCAACAGGAAAGTGACCAGAGGGTGACATGGATCAAACAAGCAACATCAGAGTCCTCAACATGCTAAAGCAAGCAGTTAAACTAATGACATGAGAAAAAAAGGAAGGTATGCACGGGCGTAGTTCTCACCCAAACTGAAAAGACAAACAACAGATTCATCGATCGTATGATTGCTAAAGTCTGTGATATGTGTGAGAGAGAGCGCAGGAGCTCCGAGACGCCGTGCTAAGTCGCGAAGTCAGCCTCGTCGCAGCCACCGCGCTATGCAGGCGTGCAGAGATGACATTCCCCGTAGCACCCCAGCTCCAGCGGCACCCTACACACCACAAACCATTTAATAGATCCGGCAGCTACATGGATAGGGCTATCAACTGTGACACCTTTTGTGTTACCTGGAGATGCACGGGCATGGCCGGCGGCGGAGCGGCCGATGGAGGGCATGGAGAGGGAGGCTGCCGAGCAGCAGGCCGCGGTGGTGGCATGGGCAGCGGCGCGAAACAGCTGAGACCTTGGCGTTGTGGCACATAGGTGAATACCTGTGGCGGAGGCCGCGGCGCCCGCGCTCGTGTCGATCGCATGGGCGGCGGGAGCGGCTGCCTTCTCTCGCGTGCGCCAGAGGAGGATTGGCGGCTGCCTTCTCTCGTGTGTGAGTTAATTGCAAGACATTACCACACTTCAGCACGTTGTGACGAATCAGTATCACTAGTCATTTTTTTTGCCATGCAGTGCCAACTCTAAGCCTAAGTGTTGCAAAACGGTCTGACAGCCGTATAAGCTTGTATTGACCACGTATCTGACCGACCGGGCCCACTTGTCAGGTGCCACGGTGGCCTACCCGCGCGCACCCGCACCCGCACCCGCGCGGTCACTCGTCCCAGCCTGCTCGGTCGAACCAAGTAGCTTGGTCCGGTCCGGTCAAACCCATACGCGACGAACCCTAGTTTCCTCTCCCCCCCGCCCTCGTCTTCCTCTCCCCTCTCAGGCGATGGCGGCGGCGACTCTCGGCGGCGTCAACGGCGCGGGCGGGTACGGGGACCTTCCTGGCCTCGGCCCTGATGACCACTTATGTCTGGACGATGTCGACGGCTCCAGTTC